AAAACAGGATAACAATGGAGCTGGCTATTAGGAACTTGAAAGAAAGAATAATTGTATATCAGTAGTGTGTACTGTGTGTATAGTGTATGAAAGTGTGCACTTTACAGGGTGAGTAAAACAAAACAAAACCCAAATTGCAGGACCAATTTTTGAATGAAATTGTGCCTGTAGCACTTTCAAAATTTAGGTTATGAAAGCACAGTCATTAAGCTTTCTTTAGTACCAGAATCATTCAATTCACTCATGTACTTTTCAAGTTAAGGAATTTTGAACACAACACCGTTGTAAGGTTTTGTCCACGGATCACAAAAAAAAGTAAAATGTGTTCTTTCAGCACAACGAAAACAGTTCTCGTAGGAATGCATGGGAATGTGAATGCATGTGAATTGTTTTCGTTTTGCTGAAAGAATATTTTTGGTGATCCGTGGACAGAACTTTAAAACGGTGTTTGTGTTCAAAATTCCGTAACTTGAAAAGTAAATCAGTGATTTGAATGATTCTTGTGCTAAAGAAAGCTCATTGATTGGGCATTCATATCTTAGATTTTAAAAGTGCTACAGGCAAAACTTTATTCAAAAATTGGTCTTGACATTTGGGTTTAATTTGTTTTACTCACCATGTACACACATGTACACTGGTGAACAACGAACTACAGCATGCCGTATTTTATCAGTTTTAAACCTTAAAGTTTTAAACCTTAAAGCTCAATTGAAATGCTGCACTTCACAATTATAACACCTGTTCGACATGTCAGGAGATAATATATCCTTGTGGGTGCGAGGCAATTGTAGTAAAGTGTCTTGCCCAAGAACACAAGCACACGTATCCTATTTGGATTTGAACTCAGTTGCCGCCACACATGATTTCAGACAAGTGCTGTAAATATTGGCCCAAGGCACATCACTTACATTTATCTACAATTTTAAACTATTTCTCAACATCAAACATAAGTTAAAGCCTGCCTCAATAAAGGTCAAAGCAAGAGGAAAACCTGACACTTTCTACAGAAAGAATTTGCAACAAAACGATCCAATTTAATTATGGGATGCAAATTTTTTCAGAAACCTGTATTCTTTTGAAACTCTGAACAATATGTATAAAAGTACACTTAATGATACACATATTAAAATAGATTCCAAAATGGCCAAAGGCTAGTCACTTTTGCAGTACATGTACTTTGACACATCATTGCTTACTCTCCAAGATCACTTCACACTAGGTCAGCACATCATTCGAATTTATGACACTTATTTTTACATCTTTCACAGCTACCCTCTTCATAACCATCAAACGCCCCCTTGTGTCTTTATCGCCTCGTTCCTGCATTCTTTATCGTTAATGTGGTAGGTTGTCGCCAAGGGGATCAAATTTTATGGCACGGCAGCGGCAAAATTGGCACGCCGGCCACTTAAACCTGCGATTACAGGACTAATGGGAGTTGATTTTTTGGCAAGTTGGCGCCATAGATGCAAACTTATTCCGATTCCAAAGTCCGCAAACCTGATACGGGAGTTGGTGTTACAGTACTGTGTGAACAAGTCGGTTTAGTTTTTCTTTTCTGTGCCATAATTATTATGACATGATTTTGCAATGGGGACACTTCCGCGTGTGAATTTCAGCCTGTTATTTTGTAGGGCAACGCACCATGGTAACGGCGAAAAAGTTGCTGTTATACATTGTCTTATTTGTGTCACCAGCTCGTTGTTGCAACCAAGACGGTTTCAAGTCAAAGATAAAAATGCACTTGATTTTGTGATTGTTGGGTTTACGGTAAATCCCTAACAGACGAAAGAAAAAAAACCACAAATGTGTCGATGATATGGGAACTGCCAACTTTATGAACAAATTAGGGAACAAATGAGGGGAAGATGGTGGAGTAAATGAACTACCCAAAAGATCAAGTTTGCATTAAAGTTTACATTGCCGGTAAAAAAAATGGCTCTAAAGTATTCACAGGGCATGCACAGAAACACCTTTAATTTATTGGAAACATTAATCAAAGTCAAACTCAAAGATCTTGCAAAAAAAAAAAAATGTTCTTCTTGACTTACCAGGCTTTTCTTTACAAGTAGTGGCTTAGGAATGACTCCAAAGTTGTCAAATTCTATCACAAAAGACGGCGGCTTGAAATTCTAGCAAACTGATCGACCCAAAAATTATGCGCAAACTCAGCATGAACAAGTACCCCACAGAGGTATACCGGTACATACATTTAACTTCCTTGTGCATAACAAGCAAGCTTCCCTTCCAAACATGGTACGAGCATTCTTTCAAGTTCAAAGTGTGCATCACCCACACACATAAAAAAATACTAGAGGGATCAACTTTTTTTTTCTCTCTAACTAATCCACTCTCTGTCACGCATAGTTTTTGAATGGTGTTATGTACCACAGAAATGCTCAGGTGCATGACAAGTTAAGTGGTCTGTCACGGGGAGGCTTTGAACTTGTGTGTGGCACTATACCCACGAGTTACCGTACAATGAAATGCATGGGTAGCAATGCATGTACTATATTGCTGTGACTTATTTCTAAACTAGCCTAGGATAATTCGCGTTGCAGATTGAGCACATAACACAGGTGCATAATATGTCAGGAAACTGTCAAGGAACATTATAATTTACACAAAGTGTGGGGGGATCAAGGTTAATAATAATGGTGTTTGGGGTGGCAAAGTGAAGGGAACAAACATCCACTATTGGGGGATTAGGCCTACCGGTACCGGTATATTGGAAGTATAGGGGGGGAAAGTGAGAATATTTCTTTTGAGGGAAATCGAACAGAATTCAAAGGTCAAGCATTTCAATGCCCATCGACTTTCATCTTAACTTCCATCATGTGCAAACCACTCACAGTGAACATGGCATTCATAAAATGGGCTCAATTCTCAATCGGTCACATCAATGATTATACCTTTTCGATACTACTGGTACATGCATGTCAGAAAAAACGTCTGAACATTTTTTGCAATGGAACATTTCGCTCAAAAATCATACTGCACGCCTGTGTCTACACCGTTAAAAAAAAAAAAAATTCTAGTTTGTAATTTCTTTTTGTTTTTTTTAAAGTTGACCTAACATTAAATACTTAACTTTTTCAGACTGTTGGTGACTGCAACAAAATTAAGGAATTTAAAGGAGCTTTAAGGAATTGACTGTATTCAGGGGTCAGAAGGCTAGATACAAAATTTGCAAAATGTCACAAATGAAATTAAAAAATCTGTTTTTCCTTCCTTTTACTGCACCATACACCGACATCTAATCAGATTAGGCTGGACAGATGGCTGGGCAGAACAGACAACAAATGAAACACCCACAAGTAAAGTGTTTGTTTTCGAGTCTGACGTGGCTTCCCGGGGGCGGCAAATTATCTTACTGTATTTGTTCTTGAGAACAAGTGGTGCACCACCACGACCACAAAAAAGTACTTTTACAAAGTCATGGTAGAACTGTTTGGGGGCCATTATCTCATTAGACTATTGTACGATTGAAAAGGAAAATGCACGGACATTAATAATGAACTATATGACCATGCTCCCCCTAATTTTTCAAGTTTCCAATTAAATTTTAATTTCAAATTTTGTCTTGATCTCGTTTTGATTCAACTAAATACAATATTGCCGTGCACAGGAAACCACAAATATTTTGAGCTTCTTCCTTAATATTTAACCCCTAACCTCTAAGTATTTTAAACTGACTAGGAAACGTTACAACCAGTCAAAATCAAATGGCAAGTTCTTTAGAGGCACTTGAATTGGCTGAGATTACACATCCACATGTGACACGTACACGTACCCCGGTACCCTATATATATATACCAAAACCAACTAAACAAACAGCAACAATTTTCATTTCTATAGCTAGTCATAAAGCAATGGAATTATTTCGATGGAGAAATCATCATATATACAAAGAAGGACAAAGGAACAAAAGTCTGACATTTTGACATTGTGACTGTCTTCGGTAAAAATGTGTTTGAATGCCTCAGTTGAGTGCCATTTTACGATTCTAAGAACGGACTGGTTTTGCCATGAGGAATACATACAACACCATGATTTAGTAAGTCACTTCAGAAAAGTTAGATTGAGTAAATCATACACAGAAGGATAAATGTAGAAAAAGCTGACATTTCTACATCGTGACCAATTTCTGTAAAATGTATTTGATTGCTTCTGTTGAGTGACACTTTACTTAATTCCAAAAACAGACTAGTTTTACCACGAGCATATAAAACCATGATTTAAGTCACTTCAGAAAAGTTCGGACACTTCGACATTGTGACCGATTACTGCAAAATTGATTTGATTGCTTCAGCACAGCTCTACTTGCCATTTCATTTATTCCAAGAACGGGCTTGTTTTTGGTATGAGAGTTAACATATTTATTTACAAAAAACATGGATGAAGTCACTACTTCTGTTCATGTAATCTTCGTTTTCCTGTCAGGCCTCCTAATATTACCCCCAGTTTCCTGTTAACAGGAACATATGATATGTTGCCCATGTGTCTCTACTTTTATTCCATAGTAATCACAAGGTTACTGCTGTCAGTTTACCAAATGTTTTGAGGAAATGATGTCATTTATGCAGTGGATACTGCTTCATGGAAAGTCCCTGAACTCAACACAATGTACTTTTTTAAAATTAAATTTGATGACGAGCTCCGACAGAAATTGGTCTTATTAGCTATAGCCTTTGGACTATAATTACTGAATCGCACAAATAATGACATCATTTAAATACATCAAAATCACTGCACGGTTGCACACTTGTAACTCTGAAGGTTTTATTTTCCAAGTATTTTATTTAAAGATCTCTGAGCTTATGTGTGACTGGTTGTCATTAAAAAAAAATATGTCAGAATAATTTTTTCCAAAAGCTTTTCAAGCTTCAAGAATACAATTATTCTTTTCAAATACAAATTAAACATCGCCCAGTTTTAACTTAAAAACAAAAAATGTTGTACAGGAAAATAATTTATTAAAAAGTTGAAGAGAGTCTTACCTGAAATACAAGTGGTACCCTCAACTGTTGCCTTCGTGTTGTGGGTTGGAACTGAGGACTCAGCTGATGGAACCTCATGAGGTTCAGAGAGGTTCTCTCCGGTGGACGCAACCTCGCACAGGGTCTCCCCATCTCCATCCACCGAGCTGGCCTTGAGGTCTCCCCTTGCAACTCTCAGTGCAATCTCTCTCCCCATCCTGCTCTGGGCAAAGCCGATGGCTTTTGGATGCTCCGTGTCAGATTTGGATCTAGGACATATTTCAGTTCTCTCTACGGATCTCACTGTCTCTTCAGTTCTCAGAAAGGTTTTGAGGTTCCTTTCCGAATCACTAATACTTTGTGTGGTATGGCAAACTGATTCATCTCCTTCAACACATTTACTGCTGTCCGTTGATTGTGAAGGGTCAACCCTTTCAATTGGATAAGTTGAGTTTTGCTGATCAGTTTGTTTTGTATTGCCAAGAGAATCAGATTTGCAAGTTTTAGAGGGCGGCGCCTCATTTTCTAGCAATTCTCTCTCTGAGGTAGTGGTGTCTGAGGTTTCATTTTTGGGTGTGGTGGATCCATCACCATCAAAACCAAACTCTGCAGGATTTGTTTCTTTGTCTTTAGGAACTATGTCTGTGATTGGGGATGCTTCTTGTGTCAAAGTTGCTTCGTGTGTCAAAGTCTCTTCCCTGTGCCTTGCATGCAGTAGACATTCCCCACTTTCTGCTGGTAGGTTGGAAGTTTGCTTGATTTCCTTGGACACATCGTCCGGTGTAGTCTCTGTGTCCTGGAATGGCATCTTTTGTAAATTTTCTGTTGAAGAGTCATCTTGAACTTTTGCCATATCAAGTCCTGATATCGAGTAAAACCTAGACGGTGTGGTTTGACAAACTGGGGATCCTTCCTCGTAGGACTGGTCGATGTCTATGGAGCACTCGGAGGGGGTGGTGGTTAGAGAAGAGGAATATTCAGTGCCACTGTCTGCTCCATCTAGACTCAGCCGGAATATTGGGCTTGGCCGGTCTGACTGGGGTACCTTATGTCTCAGTTTGACCTGTCGGTACTGGGGAAGGCTGGACCTGCGGGAGATGGGCAATGGAATCTGACTTGCAGAATGTGACCTCTGTCGCTCCTCATGGTTCTTCACGGCATCGATGGGGCTGAGGCTCTTGGTTCCTTGCGGGAAACTGAGAGACGACTTGTTGGACAGTCTTGTCCTAGTGTTCGCTGGGAGAGAATGTCTTGGCGACAGTGTGGCTTGTGTTGGTCCAGGCTGATATGATACCCTACGCTTCAGACTCTGAGGCCTAGGAATGTTTGTTGGGATGGCTCTGGGGCTGGCTGAACCAGCACTCACATGCTTTGAATGCCTAGGAGGGGGCTCTGGAGTACCGGGTGACCTTACTGTGTTACTTGTTTCCTGAGGGATTTTGTAAGTTTTAGGGATGGGAGTCCGATTCGATGAAAGTCCATTGGTTGATGATGGTAGAGTACGCTGCCGTCTTGGTGGTGCCTTTGGGGACATTTCTATAGTCTTCTGCTCTGAATGAACTGATCTTGTTGGCCTAGGATTTATATCTGAATTTACCTTATTTGGAGAAGTTCTTGAATGACTCATGGTATTTTTTATTTGTTTCTGGTCCCTGGGTTTGTCAGTTTTTGCCCCAAGTTGAGAATGATTGCTCACTGGAAGGGGTTCAGGACTTTTTGACTCGCTTTTATTATCTACCCCTTTTTCAGGGCCAGTTCCTCCCTTGATGCCCTTGGATATTCTAGGACCTGCTGCTTTTGGAACTCCTGGCTTGGTTATCTTTGCACTCTCTTGGAACATTTGCCTGATTCCAGAGACCCTCCCTAGACTTTGTGGCCTCTGCGAGGTCTTCCTCGTCGAGGTGTTCGGTTGCTCACCTTTCGTCTGTTTGTCTTTCTTGGTTGCTTGTGATTTCCCAGAGTCCTCATTCGAGGGTGCATCAAACACTTCAGGATTGGTGAAAATGTCCAAGTTTCGAGGATCTCTTCCTCTCTTGGGTCGCATCCGAGGCAGGGTTGTTGCTCCCGATCCCAAATTGAGAACCTCAAGTGGTTTAACTCCACGACCGTATCTAAACGCCCCACGACGGGTCAATGTTGTTGATGGAGAGAGGGGTGAAAGATTCTCTCGCAAGCCAGTCCTACTGCCTTCAAAATCCTGCTCTGTCCTGGAAACTGTTGGACTCCTGACTGAGTCGTTGGAACTTTCACTGTCGGCTTTACTACGCACACCCTGCCGTGTTACCCGTGGGTTTGTCCGTACCTGCGCGGGTCGGATGCCTGTTTTGTGGGTACCCGTTGTCGGTTTTGTTGTTGGTAAATCAGTTCCACTGCATTTTGCTGTTGTCTTCCATTTTGGGGCTGGAATCCTAGTAGCCATTCCCTGTCTCTGGGGGACTCCTGCCCCCTCCATACCAGAACCTTCTTTGTTTGTCACAGCATTCGCATGCCGATCTCGTGTGCTGGCCATGTCCAGTGATTCAGCACTGCGTGGCGGTCGTGAGCTGCGTGCCAGTATTGACAACTTGTCAGGGCACAAATGATGGCAGAGAACCTACAGAAAGACCCCATGGCCTCCCAACACAGACCCTATAGCTTGTTTGTTTTCATTATCATCAACTGAGCAAACATGCAAAGTACGTATTTGCCCAAGACAACAAGACAAAAACAGTAGCGTTTTTTTTCCCTTCAATATATCTTCTTTCTTTCCGGGATGGTGTATATATCCCAGTAAGTCACGGTGGCGGAAAAATTCATTATCAGTTGGGGTTATCGTGATCAACGTGGTTTCAAGTCACCATCCAATCAGAGGGCAGATAGATGGATGACAACAGTCAAGCACAGCCATTCCAAGGCCCCCTGATAAGTTGGCTTTTTATCCTTTTGGTAGCATTAACCTGATTTCTCGCACTCAAAATCCAACCAATGCACACAACTGAAGTGGTCGTAGCCGACAGAAAAAAGTGTAAACTACAGAGTCATATTTCAAATTTCAGGCTGTCCATGTGTCTGAGCAACTTTCTGAGGTTGTATTACGCAGCCACAATGCTTGGTCTACTGTTGTTCCAGGTTAAACTTTAGCAAACATTAGCTTCTCTTTCTTTCACAATTTCAATACTAAAGTCCGGATGGGTGAAGAATTCCTTTTGTGAATGACACACTGAAATTTGAGTGCCCGTCATTTGATACTTCAGTTGTCTGTTCCAATTGCAAGTCCTTTTCATTCTTTGTAGGCTAGGCCTGTGCAGTAGACAGTGTCTCAAACACGCTGATATTTAGATTACCTTCACAATCACACTGTGTATACCTTTCCAGTCCAAAATCCTGCCAAAAGCTCACCGCTACTTCTCCATCAGCTTATTTCAAAATGAACTCGATCCACTCGCACATTTTAAAAACAAAAGAGTTGACAAAACTGACGACAAATGAATGGACGACGTCCTCGATCAAGTCACATAATGTGGTGCTTCATTGTGCTCTGTGAAGTAAAGCATACACACACACAAAAAACACAATGAAATGAAAGAACAGAAAATCAATTGGTTTTTATGCCAGTGGAAGTTAGAGGAATTCACATCAACGCAGTATCAGTATGGGAAATCAATAATGAAGAGACACCTGGAGCCTGGGGCTTAGCGCAGTAAAGTTTTGCTAAGCGACAACAGGTTACCGGCTAAAAATGTCATGTGATTGAAATCCCAAATGGCTGGTTCCCAGCTGAGTTTTGCTTAGTAGGAAAATTGGGTAAGCAATCTTTTCTGGCAGACAGTGTTGACAAAGCTAATAGAATACAGACGAGATAATGTAATGGGTGATGTATTACATGGAACACCCACAGAATGTTCGGGGAAAAGTACACACAATATTTCACATTCAAAAAAGGTATGAACTAGTGCAAATTATCCTTCCACAAATTGTTGGGCGAATTCAAGACCAAACAATTTAGCACTGTACCCCCCCCCCCCCCACACACACACACAATGCAAACTGTATTTGAGAAAATACCAATTTAATATATTTGAACTTGGTGGTAGTTTTCAGTGGTAATAAGGAAAAAGATTTAATTCCCATTCAGTGTAAAATTCAACTGCCAGTCTGCCCAAGGCACAATATTTGCTGCACCTGTGCGTGTATCGAGACTGAACGTTCTATAGCTGCCCGATAATGGATACAATCATTAAACTAGTGACAAAACCTTTACAGACCAAAGGTTAGTGAATGCGCTGGCACCTGTAGTGCGGGTCATTAAATATTCATTCTCCAGATCGGATGTGGGGGGTGAAGAAATCGGGGAAGGGGATAAAAGACCATTCAATAAACAGATGAGGTGCAAAAAAACGTGACAAATTTTCATCCATTAATACTTCCGAAGGATTAACAACAGTTTTAATAGCATTCTTCATCCAAAACATTTCTTCCAAATTTTTTGACCGTAAAATTCTGTCAAGGCCTAATTTCACAATGTATTTTTTGGCATCAAGTTGGCATTGTTGAAATGACGACCTGTGTTTTTCTCAAAACGGAAATTTGTGGAAATGTTCAGGCGACAGTCAAGTTTTGAGCTGTCATTGCCATTTTATGAGAAATGTATCTTAACCTCTGCTTTAAATGGCTATAAAATTGCCTTCTTCATACTGAATAAATGGTTGAAAATCTCTCCCAGATGAGAAGCCAGATAGGTGATGGGATTGTGGGCTATAGCAAGCATGGCATTTGGCACATAGTCAAGAGTATGTCGAGAAAAAGATATTTGGCTATAGCCCAGACCACATTTATCCTTTCAAAAAATATAGGGCATAGGTAGAAAAACAAGCAATATGGCAGCCATTGTAAAAAAAGACTGAAATTTGCTTGTTATTCTTCCTTTAAATTTCAAAGGACAAATGAAATGAAATGGGTGATGCCCTATATCCAGATATTAAGACAAACTCTGATTCTGTGCCAAATGCCATGCTTGTATCATCAAAGGCACAAAAAAAGCCTGGGAATTTTCTTAGGAAATACCTTAGACTTTGTACACAATAGCGGAAGTGGCGTGAGGTTGCAACATTTTCCCCCAAAACATTCCCCAAAATATTTCCCCTACCTGCCCCGGCCGGCCACTTAGCAGGCGCGGATCCAGAGGTCGAGGGGGTCAAAAAAAAAACCAGCTGTCAAAAAAAAAAAAAATTATCATACCGGCCAATTCATAAAAAATAAGTCAACCCCCCCCCCCCTGTGACACCCCCCAAAAAATTATACTGGTATAATGTCCTCCTGTTCAAAATACGGTACACCATTTTGTAATCTAGTGTTAATAGGCCTAATCGTCGAATTTGAACAGCACCCCCTATTGAAATATGGTACCAGTTCTCTCCCCCCCCCCCCACCCCCCCCCCCCCCCCCCCCCCCCCCAGTTTTTGATTTGACGGAGGCCAAGTGTCCGGAGAAAAAAACCCGTGTACATTTTCAGATTTATTTGCTGATGAAACCCCCCCCCCCCTTCCCCCTGCGAAAATTCCTGGATCCGCCCCTGTTTAGCTAAATATATGGGAGGTTAGGAACAGTTATTGTTTGTCAAAAATCATGGATTGACATTCGACTGGACCACTGAATTTCCCACTTTAAAAACAGACAAAAGTTTACCCGAGGCTGATGTGCAACAAGAGTGTCCCCTGTCCCGCCCTCTCGAAGTTTTCCGGGCCAACATGTCCCTTTCGAGGCCCACACCGAAAAATCATGCACCGTGATGCACGAGTCACGCACGCGAGTACATCCGGCACCAAACAAAATGGCGCTTACCCGACACTCGCGACAACTTCATTCTTTGAAGTTTGAAAAGTCATTGGATTGATTAAACTGAAAACCCACAGTCAGCGCTTTAATTCCCCGACTCACCGTTTCTCGTCCAAGTTCGCAGTTCCACCATTTTTCACCGATCAATTCATTCTACTTCTGAAAAAACAGCAGATACTCGCTGGTAGTGGTAGTGAACTTGCAGTTTTAAACCCAGCCACGTTTTATTCAGAACATAAATAATCGACTGCATACTGTCTGTTTTCTTTTTTCAGCTCCGGCGACGGGATACAAACGCGACAATAGGTACTGGGGATAAACCTGTTTTCACCCAAATAACCTTGGTTGGTGACAAATTGTACTATTCAGGAATTCAGAAAAAAAATCAGTTGTCGTCAGTCCTCAACAGGCTGTTTATTCTTCAATTTTTTTAACATAATACTATGATGTAAACATTAATTGAAGGCACCTCCCCAAACAACCCCCCCCCCCCCAAAAAAAAGGGTGGGGGCGGGTCAGAGAAAAAGAAAAAAATAACAAAACAACCAAACAACACAATGAAACAGGATCACAGTGGCAAATAAATATAAATAAAATTAATAAATAAAAAAAACAAGCAAATGAATATAAAAAATAACACAACTTAAGGCCTAATTTAAAATAAACCGATCAGTTGTTTATTTTTATTAAACGTTTGATTCATCACTTGTATAAGAACTGTTCTTCCCGGGGGCTGAGGTCAACTTCGGATCGGGGGCGGGGGCGGGGGGGGGGGCACCCTCCCCCCGCCAAAAAAAACCCCACCAATTTTTTAGTTGTAAGTGACGTTGCCAAAAAAAAAAAGGCAGCCACAGCGTATATCAGCATCTTTTGCTAAAAGAAAAAATAGTTAGTGCTTCGCGCTCACTAGTGCTGATCAATGTCTTAATCCCTGCCCACTTTGAGAAGCAAGTTGCGCCCTTTTTAGTAAGTCGCCGAGAAACAACTGACAACCGCAATGACTGAGTGAAACATTCTCGCTCTGAAGCGAGGCCGAGGGTAGCATAAAAATTGCGACACAGTGAAGCATGAATTTAGGTTTTATGAAATACGGACTCATTGGTGGCATGCGCATGCTCATGCATACATAATTAGGAGAGGGACCGGTCACGTGAGAGAAAAAGAGTCCGATTTTCATAGAGTCTGATTTTCATATGACAACGGCACCAATGCCGGCTGAAGAGTCCTAGTGCCCCCCCCCCCCCTTGCTTTTCATATTAACTCTGTGGCGGAACATTTTTGGACCCACTTTTTCGGGGAAAAAAAAAAAAGTTTTGCCCTTCCCCCCAAAAATGTTCTGGATCCGCCCTTGACTTTGGATAGTAAAGCAAAGTAAAATACATAGGCCTAACAACCCCCCCCCCCAAAAAAAAAAACCACACGAAAACAGAAAAGATTATATTACAAATAAAGAAACAAACAATGCAAATTAAATTGTTAAATACCACAAAGAACGGTTGAGTACGCCCAAATAGAAAAAAATAATACATTTGAAAGTACATTTTCCCCCACTATATACAGGTAGGCCTACGGCTGAAAAAAGAACAACCCATAACTTAATATAAGGCCTATTTCACAACTTGGAAACTTTAACTAAAATATCAATTATAAAAGACAGATAAAAGAGGGGAAAGAATCAGTGGCGTATCAGGGGGGGGGGGGGGGGGGGGGAATTCCCCCGGCGAGATCATTGTGCCATAGGAAACTAAATGCCAACACCTTTAGCCGAAATTTCTGCAAAATCAAGCCGCTGCGAAGAGCGCCACCTATGCGATAAGGCCCTGAATCGTTTGCATTGAAGGGCGCTATATAGCGCCGCCAATAGTCAGATGCTTTCCAACCACAACATATTACAATTTCGAGAAAGCAGAACATCCATGCACAAACATTTGATCACGACCCCCTTTTTTCGCTTTATAACGCTTTAATTTGCAAAAATCATTCAATGATTGGTCGTTGGAAATCACGTACATTTCTTGATTTCTTCGAAATGAAAGCAAGCCAGACAGAATAATGCGCGATATTTTATACAAGTACGGCTTTTTGATACTTGAACCCGGTATGTTACTTCCTGGATAAACGCAAATGATGCTGAGTACATTTGAATCAAAGCATCCTGGTTGGATATAACAAAGTGCGTATAGGTACCGGTATGTTTATTTTGTCATCCACTGCACATGACGTTTTCATTATGAATATTAACTCCCACGAGATATTTGGAATTCTACCAGCACTTGTTGCAAAATCCGGAAGTGTCTCCTACCCAGCATTCTTAAATAAATCAGCGTGTGTTAGAATTTTTCCTCAGTTGACCGAAAAAAAAGCTGGTATATCAAACAGTGCTCGGGAAGTCATCGCTTGAGAGGACGGAGCAATCTGCGTGAAAGGCGGGCCTGTGACAGTCGACCGAATTTGTGCCTGTTTTCTGCGAGATATTTTTTTTGGCGACGATTTTTTTTTTTTTTTAGAACAAGCATGTCGGCCGAGTTTGAAGGCAGCATCTACAGCAAGAGGATCTTGCTGACGGGCGGGGCTGGTTTCATGTAAGTTTAGCTTTGGTCGTTTTTTTTTTTAAATTGAACAATTCTTTTATCATGATTCATCAGAATGATGCTGCATATAGATCAATAAAAAGAAACAACCACCACCAAAAACAAAAACTATCCGTTCAGATTTAAAAAGTAAATCTTAAAAAGCTATACTTACAGGTATAGTCAATTTTGTGCGAGTTTGATTAGTTTGCAGAATAATGCATGACTTTTGTTTTTAAGATTTTAAAAAGAACGTTTTGTCCGATCCGGACCATTTTGTTAAAGCTGATTAAACGATAATTCCAAGCCAGTTCAATAGCGATCAACACGCTTATTAGAGATTAAGACGGGAAATTCACCACATCATCAACTTTTTCATTTTTACACTTCTTCGCGAATTAATTATGGCTGGAATCGGCGTACTGTGGGAGGTTTTGAGTATAAATCAACACAAAAATTAACTTAGGTTTAGAATGCACGGAAGCGAATGTGATTCAGAAATCTTTTTTGGAGATTTCAAAGATTTCTTTAAGGTTGGAATTGGTAGCTTTGCGTTGTCAGTCAGCTCCATAGATTTGCTCGAAGCCAGCCACTGGCAACATTTTGTGTCCTTGGGCAAGCTGCTTTACTCCACTTGTCTCGCTCCACCCAGTCGTATAAAACGGGTACCAGCATAAGTTAGTAACATGCGATGGGTTTTTACTTCGTTTAAAGTTTTTTCAATCGCGTTTTGTTTAATCTAACATCCCTATCATGTTTCTTGTAACGTCTATGTAATGTTCTCGCCTGAGAAAAACAACGCAAACAACTCAGTATATGCAAGTTTATTTGACACGACCATAGAAGGACGGCAACGCTCTGGTCTGACGAGATCAGGAACGTGTTTCGTGTATTGAATCTCGGTCTGTCAATACGGATAATTACATCGTTTTTCTCCATCGAGTACCAGTACCTCTTTTGAAAAATTCTCTTCGATAAAATGCTTTTCGTCGGATGGACTACGTCGCATTATCTACAACCGTACAACCATATAGCCGTATATAGGAAGCGGTACGACAGGTACGGCTATAGCCGTACTGATAATAATATAATGGCCATACTGCGTGGGGTTCAGGGCCCTCAAGCAGGCCCCGAACCCCGCTCCATTTTGTTTTGTTTTGGAAAATATATACCATTGGAATATTATCTGAGAATATTGATTGGTAAGTTTCTGCAGGCAGTCAATTTGATTATTCAGTTACGTATATATTCTCTATAATTGTCAATAAATTGCCCTTTTTGTTCAATTTTCACGGGCCATTACTTAACAAAAGAAGAGTTCGGATAAAACTGTTTGATAAAACTGAAAGCAAATGTGTTAAATTAGATATAAACATAAAAAAATGAAAGCGAAAGATGAAATTCAGTGAAAATCGTTACAAAGCTAATTTTAGACATTGAAAAAAGCAAAGACAAACAATAACAATTGAGTTTCGATTTTAACAATAAACTGAAAATAATAATATTTATGCAAAGGAACTTCAAAACCTGTATTCTAACAATAATCTACAGTTATTAACTCACTATTTTTAAGAATGTACAGTTAACTGTAAATTCTTCAAAAAAATATACGCTTTACTGAATAGAGTGACGTCACAAGCAGCCGAAAATCGGGGAGGGGCAACCCCCCCAGCTCTGGATTTTTTTCATAGAATTTCCTGAAAACAAATGCGACCCCCCCCCCTGCTCCGACACCAATTTTTTTTTTACTGGTAATAATGTCCGCCTTTGCACAAAATACGGACAGAGCCAGCTTGGGTATTATGTACACTATTCTGTGATATAGTGTTAATAATCGTCGGATTTGAACAGTGCCCCCATTTAAAGTATGGCACGAGCCCCCCCCCCCCTCCCACCTATTGATTTTCGGAGGCCAAGTGTCCGGAAAAAACCCTCCTGTCCACATTTCAGATTTGTTTGCCGATGAACAACCCCCCGTGCAAAAATTCATGGATCCGCCCCTGAGAAGAGTAGTTTAATTAGAAAAACAGAGCCGCTGGCTGGCCTTGCCAAACATTATCTATATTCCAGTTTAATTTGTTATCAAAGATAGGCCTACTTGTACTCAGTAACATTTTCCACTTGTTCATTTCTTATACCAGATCCAGCATTATGCTTTTTTTTTATAACGAAAGTCAAAAATAAGTTCTTTTGTTTTGGGTACGTTTAGAATAAGAAGATTGTCATCGCACCATTGAACAAATTGTTCTATTCAGTTTTGTAAAAAAACTCATCATTTTGAAGCAGTGTAGTCGAGTACTTTTTTCCGAGTACGAGTACGAGTACTTGTACCTCCGAGCACAAGTACAGGTCTCAGAGTACGAGTACTCGTACTTCCGAGTACGATACGAGTACAGTACGAGTACTTCTATTTCCGAATACGGCCATACCGCAAATGGTTCATTGTGCGTAATTGACCCAGGCCCAGTCAGACCGATGTACAGACCCACTCATCGCTATAGCTGTTAAATGTGTTTGCCGGGCGTGCACAGAGGGAAATCGGGAAACTTCGATTTTGTCCGAAAGGCAATCAACCATTTCAAACTGAAAGTTTCGATAAACTAAGGTCGTGGTAAGTCAAGCTATACAATTTTTTTTGAGTACTGCTATTCGAGTACGCCACTTTGATGATCGAGTATACAATTTCGACATGTCGAGTACGAGCACTTTGCTGCCCGAGTAGGAGAACCATCATTTCGAGTACGAGTACTTTGACATTCGGGTACTTGTACAACACCGATTTTGAAGGATTAAAGCCAGTCAATGATGTATCGTCAGCGTATTTCACAATATAAAGAAAAGTTCGCGTGTTGCAACGGTATATGACTGTTGTAAAGTGAGGAAAGAACCGGCGTTAGACAGAAAAGTACAAATGCCCATATTCTGTTGTCTATTTAGAAGAATGTGTGGCTGCATTGAATTAAACAGCCGAGGAAAAGTCGATAAATAATGATCTCACATATAGCTCCAGGATTGTCCAGATGTTCATAGACATTAAATACAGGTGTCGCAACCGCGTCATCAACACCCTCGCTTGGTGCACTATGCTGATAAGGATCAGCAAACATTTTGCTGTACGTTTGCCAGATGCCGTTGATGATGGTCTCATAACACTTCATACTACCTCGCTATCCGCACTTCGGCCTTATACATGAGATTGCACCGTTCACCGGAACATATCATCACATTTTGAGAGCACCTATTGTAATAAGGCTACAGTAATTTAATTGCACATACAGGGAGGCACGGCTGGGTTCCCCGGTGCATTTTTCGTGACCCGTATAGGGCGTATTCCAACCTCGTTCCAATGGGTACGAGATCTTGCTGCGCCATGTTGTTTCCCATCATGCCTTGCGCGATCTCAACCCCTGGAATTGTGTAATTTAAATGTGCCGAAATATGACACATTATAATTAGGCTGCAGTTTATCCGTTTACGTGCCGACGCCATCTTTAAAATGTTGAAAGTTGTGTTTTTGAAGAATCAATCCCTACAAACATAAGGTTAGGACGTTTCGTTATTTAGCAAAGATTTTTATTAAAAGTACGTACCCCTTTCGTCTCTTTACAACCGAAGATACAGGGTTTTTTTAGTGAAGGAACGCACATGCGCCCATGGAGTCGAGGCTGGGCGTATTCGAAACCCCGTTCTCTTATGACCCACGAACAGTTTTCTCGGATTGCTGATTACAAACGGGTGTGTGTGTGGAGTGTAGACTGTTTCCCGGTCCCCCTAAAAATAAGGGGACCGGTAGCTACAATCCTGGCCAAATCTTGCTGGGTCCCCAACCCCCGGCCCCCACTCAACGTTGTCTCTCATTGCGCGGCGTGTGCTCCATCAGCTGGAGAGAACAACATTGACCCGGGGAGCGGGAGAGTGGGTGACGTGACCGTGGCAGGCTCAGGAAGTGTCCCAACCATTTTGGCCGGGATTGTAGTTCCCATTTAAAACCATCGATTTTAAAACTTTCAAGCATTTCAACTACATAGGTTTTAAATACTGAACAGTAATGCCTCTCTATATTGCTATGTGCCAGACACACTTTCGATTTCAGCAAAAATCGAAGCTCATAAATGCCCGAATCATCAAACATGATATTTATTAATGGCGATCTAAGGAACTCGCGTATTTGATTTGAATCAATAACCTAGTTCTGGTTGATTTTAACATTCACTCTGTATGTGGCCCATTTTCTTATGATATGGAAGAACACTATAATTTCCACGTGGCATATATCCCAGGCACGGGAGAAACGCTCTCAATGCCGTAACTAACATTGTTTTTGTTGCTTCTCTTTCTATTTTGAAATCTCATCAGTGGCGGTCACGTGGTGTCTAACCTGGTGGAACGGTATCCCGATTATTACGTCGTAAACTACGATAAGGTAGGTTGAACCCGAGAGAAAGTTGTCCTCGTTCCCAACGCCCCATCCAAGGATGACGGTAATCACAACATCCCGTCCACAAATCTGGTGGAGGAAACGCAGACAAAAACCCCCAAATCAAAACAAAAAAACCCCAAAAAACACAAAAAACCACCAATCGAAAACTACCTCTTACTATGTAAGAAAAGGATTTGACTTTGTAATTCACGACTTTCATTTAGACGTAGTCGGGCGTCAATCGATTCTGAAAAGTGGGGGGGGGGGGGTGGATTGGATTCTCGATGCTCTGTGGTGTGATCTGAAGCAATTTCTTACCACTTTAACCAATAATTATCTTAGCAAAAGATAATAATTCAAACATAATTTTCGAGGTTTTCTCGGCTAAAGGCATAAGATACTTATTTGAACATCGTTTTCGAGGTTGGAGTAATTGAATTCTGAGCTACCGGCGTGGGGTTCGGGGCCCGTTTAAGAGCCCCGAAAAATGTTGGATTCTAAATGCTCTGTGGTGCTATCTGAGGCCATTTCTGACCACTTTAACCAATATTTTATAAGCAAAAGATACATTGTAGTACATAATAGGGCCCTGTAAATGAGACATGAGTTCAAAAATCTGGGGGGGGGGGGGGGGAACATTTGATATTGTGTCCCGCACCCTTCAAAAAGTGGGGGGGGGGGGGGGGGGACATGTCCCCCCTCCCCCCAGGATTGACGCCCATGTGCAGTGTTGATTTCGGTGACGGTAGACAATTTTTTAGATTTAAATATTGTATTCTTATAATTCAATCGACGGCTTGCCTTTTATGCTTCAACAGCTGGAATACTGCTCGTGTTTGAAGAACCTGGAGAAAATAGCAACAAAACCGAATTATAAATTCGTAAATGTAAGTGGTTCATTTTTTTTCACTGCAAATTAGTTTTATGTTCTGTGTCTTATCCAACTGTTTCTTGTCAAACCAGGAATCGGACAAAGTCACATTTGGCAGGAAAACATCTCCAAACCGAACAACTTTTTTGAAGGGAAAAGAAATTATTCTACGCAATATTTTGCACCAGTGCAATATTTCAAAAGTCATGTCTGAGAATGTTTAGAAGTAGTATTTGTACATTCAAACTGGTCTGAAAAAATGCTTTTAATATTTAACTTTCCACTTCCATCATTCATGTGCATACGCATTATATTACTGTACCAGCAAAAACAAAAAGGCTGGCGGAAAAATGTTCCAAATACTACCAGCATAAATTTGACGAACTACTTTTTATCTTACGTAGGGAGACATCTGTGACGAGGATAAGCTCCGTGAGGTGCTTCATCAGGAGCGCATTGATACAGTCTTGCATTTTGCTGCCCAGTCACACGTGGGTCAGTACACTATTCGGTTCGCCTGAACCAAACCATTCAACAGTAAAAAACAGTTTAAGATACAATTGTAAAATTACAAGCTAAACTATTTTCATTAATAATTTTAAACAAATGATAGCCAGAATTGTATTAACTTTTCATAATAGGCCTAGAGGTGTAGGGAATGTGTAGAGTTAAAGTTGGTAAATACGTGTTTTTTTCAAAAATTCGATTTCTTTTCCGAACGATATTTAAAGGAATGCAATGTTCTGTAACAAATATATATGCTTGTTTGTTTTGCAGGCCTTTATATAGATTCAAAAATTGGTTTTAAATGGTGTGTTCCAGTTCCGAAATTGCGCACACTATAACATTTACAACGAATTAGGAGCGTCCCGCTCTTAATTCAAAAGTTGAAATTAATTCATTGATTACTGTCTTGTCACGGACCGGTTTTTTTTCGTGCGATGTCTCATTGACAAGCTCATTACTACTGTAATACTAGAAAATTGTCAATTCAATTTGAAAATCTATTTTTTAAGGTGCCACAGTCAAAAGCACGTACACACCAACTTTAACGTTAGTCTTGCCGTGCTTTGAATTTTGCGAGAGTTCGACATCTTAAAAATTGGTGTCGAAAAGTACGCAATCTGCAACAGTCACAACAGGCCAAGTCTCGCAAAATAATTGGGTAACTTTTCACGACAAATCTGTCATTCTTTATCCGTCACATGCTTTGTTTCCTATTATCTGGCTAAACATTCACAGCAAACATTTCAAAATAACGATGCCAGAATCAGTGCATTTATGTATCTGCTTTGCCCACAGACAACTCGTTCCGCAGTGCTGACAACTTCACGCGGAGCAACGTTCAGGGTACCAGCACGCTGCTCGAGACGGCCAAACAGTACGGAGGTATCACACTGTTTCTACACGTCAGTACAGACGAGGTCTACGGTGGCAACAGTAAAGTGGTGAGCAGAAATGAAAATGGGTCCGTCCGTTTGGGGCCGGTTTCTTGCAGTCCCTTGAAAAGAACAGAAATTTGATAAGCGCCGAGGAACGTGCAAGAGGGCAGGGGGGGGGGGGGGGGGGGGGGGGGGGGGGGGGGACCATCTTCGTATGGTGGCGTTGTTCAAAGTTGACGATTACGCCGCAATCAGACAAGAGGGCGCTCTTCATGGCGGTACAATTGCCGACGATCACGCGACGTTCAACAAAAGGGTACTCGGGCAAACAAAATCTCTTTTGAAAACAAAAGGACTGTCGTGGAAAAAGGGCACCCGTTAAAAATATTGGGGGGGGGGGGAGGGGGGGGGTTAAATATCCCCTTACCCCCCACCCTCCCCCGCGGTGGCTACGACACTGTAATTATGCTTAGAGTCAGTACTTAATTACTACCAGTGGCGTGCAATGTGACTGCAGGATACACAGCAGACTTTTATTTGCATATATAGGCCTAAATCGGCTAAGATGTCGATGATTTTTTTACAAGTTGCATCCAAGGGTCAACCTTCCATTAACCCTTGATTTCTTTTTAACATTTTAACAATGGAATCTGAAAACAGGCCCTAACGGAGGAGGCACCCCTCAATCCCATGAACCCTTACTCCAAGTCCAAGGCCGAGGCGGAGATTATTGCCAAGTCTTACTGGGACAAGTACCGGTTTCCAGTCATCATCACGCGGGGCAATAACGTCTACGGCCCCCACCAGTTCCCCGAGAAGGTCGTGCCAAAGTTTATCGGACTGCTACTGAAAGGCAAAAAGTGGTAAGCTTTTCAAATAGGCAGTGGCAGCAATTGTCGGCACGTGTCAGCCTTACACATTATACTTGTTGGGAAGACCTTTGTTTCCCTTTTTAAAAAAAAATTGACCTGTACATAATCAAATAAGTCTCTTTATTTTCTAAACTTTGTTGTCCAGGGGTCCCGTACTCGACAAGCTCTGCTTCCTACGGGTCCCTCCACTTCACTGTCCTTGTGTGTTTAGTATTTGTATTTCTGTGTTTGTCAATGCTGTATTTTTTGTTCTCTGCCTGTGAATGAAGTGGAAATAAATGAAGAAGAAGATAGCCTTTTGTTTCCCTTTGTTCCTATTGAAATCTCAAACTCCATAGCGTTTGCCTTACGAGGTAGATTGATTTCTAAAGACTTCCTTATGGATGATATTGTTCTATTGTTTTTTTCTACCCCATAAGGAACCCTGTACATAATCTTGACCATCGTACAGGACACAAGTAGCTTGACAGGAACGAACAAGGACAAAGTTGTCACAGTTCAGTGAATACTAGAGAAGTTCACAAAGCAAAACCGCCACAACGGCTCATTAATCTTCACTCTCTATCTTGGTTCCCTCAGCTGTATCCACGGTGACGGTACCTGCACCCGTAACTTCATGTACGTGCAGGACGCCGTGGAAGCCTACCTGACTGTGCTACATAAAGGCGAGGTAGGAGAGATCTACAACATTGGTACCGAGTTCCGTATATCCGTCAATGGAGTGGCCAACATTCTAACCCAAAAGGTGAGTAGAACTGGGCAATTTCGTATTCGCGTCAAAAGAGGGGGCTGAGGTGAGGTGGTCGTCGGTAACCTCTTTCACAAAGTTTTGTGACGAAGCAATAATATTGGTATAATGTACCAAACCTTTTATCCAGTGAGTGCTCAAAGTAATTAGAGGACACCAGCGCAGGGAAGGGGGTATTGGACGCGTGGTAGCGCTGTTCCGGTACACATAATTACATCTGCTGCCGCGTTTTGACCACTGTTGCTTTACCACTGACAGAAAATATGGTGTAACATAATATTTTGGTCCTTTGTTTTAGATTCTTGGGCACAAAAAGGATGAAGACGAACACGAGGGTCACATGGAGTTCGTACAAGACAGGTACAGATTAAAGGTTACGTTATCAAAAATGAATGGCAGCACTTTCTACACAAGCTTACCAAGCGCCCTCATCGGCCATTACCGCATACGGGCTTAAAAAGGTTATTGACTGTCATCGTTGTTGGAGTTGGCGCTGTTTTCATCTTGTACGAGTTTACGTTTATTGGCCAAAATAGACTTTAAAGTATTCTCGACGTTGCCAACTTTCTCGATACACTCATGAAATATTAACAGTAGCACTAAAAAGGTTTCTCACTACATTTCTCGTCATTTGTTAGCATCCATACGAACCTGAATATGGCCTACAATCTAAGTTCAGAACCTATCACTTGTGCACTTGCTTATTATCTTAATGAAGATTTTCCCTCTTTCCCAGGCCGCACAATGATAAAGACTATCCCATCGACTCATCCAAGCTGCGAAGTCTCGATTGGTGTCCCAAAATGCCCTGGGATAAAGGACTTGATATCACCAGTAAGTCAACCCTTAATTTTCTTGATTGATTCATTTTCTATGTTTGATTGGCTACAAAATTGTTTTCTTCCACATCCAGTCAAACAATATATGTTTCACGATAAATTGTTAGGGGACAAAATATACTTTCCCAAATCGATGCTAAATAGTGTATCTTTCAGTCACCGTAATAAAAAAAAAAATATTGAGACAATTTTCTATCACACTCTATATACCAACCTTGGACAAAATGATGAGATTTGCCCTATACGCCCGCTCTTTCTGCTTTAACACCGACGAACTTGTGTTGTGAACTATTATTAAAAAAAAACAAGAAGTAACGAAATTTGCATTTTTTTCACCCGGCACAGTCGAGTGGTACCGCCATAATTTCTCCAACTGGGGAGAACTGTCGGAGAGGGCGCTCGTTCCTTTCCCCGATGTCTTGGGTGAAACGACCAAAGAGAACGGCGAAGATCAACCGGAACTGTGATTGGAAAAAAGCTGAATGACGTCATAGAAATTGGAACGTTATTTTTTTTCGGGCTACAAGTTGCACTTGGGTCCATCCTTTGATGTTTAAAGACATTTTATCGTCAAAGACATTTTAATGTAACACGTTTCAGTCGTGCCACATCCAGGCAACTTGGACAAGAGGACAGTATTAGTGTTCTATAAGACTTATGAACAGGCGACAATCTAAAGAAGTCAGGAACACATTAATAATTGTGACGGTAAATTGTGTAAATGTTTGATTTGTAAAAATGGGTAACGTATTTATTGTATGACTGCCGTCAACATCACTATATATCTTACGATATCAAACAGATAAAAACTATCAGCAAGACTGATACCTGTAGGCGAAAGTATAATGAATTGTATGGGCTTTATTGTCCAAAATTGAATTTAGTAACCAAGGCGTTTGTTAAGAGGGTGCACGGGTTATAAACTATGTATGTAAGGCCAAAAAAAAAAATACTCGGTCTCTGGTCAGCGCGCGCGTCGATTTTAATCATGCGCGTCAACCTTTTTTTCCCTTCAAATTAACACGGAAGCTACAACAGCGCCCTCTATTGCCGCGCCTCTTCAAATTTTTGTACCAAGGAGCACCAAGGAATGGGAAAATTGCACCAAGGCAAATGATAAAGGGCACCAAGGCAAATTATTGAGGACACCAATGTATAATGAGGACACAAAAAAGCAAAATAGTACCCACCTTGTCTGTACAATACAAGCTTGAAAAAAAAAAAGTCACCCAAAAAAACCTGCGTCGCCGCATCAATTCCGGAACTTCGGTCTGACCAGAGACCGACTTTTGTTGTTGTTGCCTAAACTGTATTTTCTAATTTTCAAAATACGGTTGTATAATATTTATTGAAAATCATAAGAGTGTTTTTATTTAAGAGAGCTGGAAGTGCCCATTCACTTCAGAGGTATGTTTACCTGCTTTTAGTATACAGCCCCCCCCAGGTTTAATCCTTTTTTCTTTCCGTAGGCCTATGGGGCATTAACGTAACATTTCGGATTTATTCAAAACCTTTGGTGTAAAAATTAAGGAAGCTTTTTTAAAACTCCGATATAAAACGTAACTTTAAGATTTATCAGATTTTGCCTGAATTTAAATTTCCACTTAATCGTGACGTAACAGAATAATCATTAGTGACTCATACTGAATAAAGGGGGGAAATGAAAACCACATCGAAAAAAAATTTGAAAATAGACAGTCTGGATTTCTCTGTCTGTCGTTCATGTTTATATTGTAGAAAGTCAGTCCTGTCGTGTTTATAAAGTCAGTTGTCGTGCACATAGAATTAATGAAAAAAAAAACCATCGCGTATTGAAACTTTGATTTTTGTTTAATAATCTAAATATAGTTATGAAAACATTCAATTTACATTCAAATGATGTCATTGCACACATGTACCCACTGCACTCTCTTTTGAAAAAAAAACATTTGGAAGAGATATAAACAGTTAGCAGCGCTATAGAAAAGGCGCACAGAGCCGTAAATTGCGCCCTCTAGAGCTGACTTATTGTCCAAGACGAAACAAAGGTTTCCTGGGATCGTTCGAGTGGGTTTCCTCCGACACCTGCAGTAGAACTCCAACTGATAAACCGAAAAACGGGTGCGTCAAAATCAAAGCCCAGGTTGAACAAATATGGGTCACAAAGAGTACTGCCACTCAAACACTTCTGGTGTAATAATGTCAAGTAGGCCCTATTAGTGTGTATAAAATAGACTTGAATTAGGGAAACAGTACCCATTTACGTACTTGTCGGGGTAAGCCAATTAAGCCCAGGCTGAAGCTGTAACTTCGTAAAGTGTGAATCACACTTGCCGAAATAGATACACGTACTGTTAAACATTAGCATTTGGATTCCAAATCACACACATTTGTCTCGGTTTCACGGATAAGGCGTACACCACCGTGTTGTCACGACCGATCATGGCGGGACGTTGGTGGGTCGCGACGGCCCTGATTTTCTGGGCGGTCGCCTGCAGCGTGTCCGGACTACCAGTCAGGAGAGATGCTGACCTGGCCATCGCCGGTCCTGCGTCTGCTGAAGACATCAAAAAGGATCTTCGAGAGGCCATCGACTTGGATGAAGTTGTGGTAAGTCGATAAATGGTTGGGTTTGCCTTGGATATGCTGCCAAACCCTATTTGCCCACTGGTTCTGCATACTATTATTAGAATCAGAAGAAAAGGGTTAATTGATCACGATTCACGGGAAGATGGAAGATGGTTAAGCACTGCTTTTCGACTTTTGGCAGAGCGCCACCAATTAATTTTTGTTGCAAAAGCTTGTGTTACTTTTGTTGCGTCCGGCATTGCATTTGTTGTAATTCTTGCTGCCATTGTTGCAAAATTATCTTTTTTGGGGGGGGGGGGAGACATTAAAAGGAATTACTGTCCGTACTAGATTTGATGACTTTCACATAAAGTAAGTTCGTCGTCTCCTCGTCCGACCTTTGACCTCAATTTCAACGCACCCCTAGGTACGTGCTGGGTGATGTCACTGTTTGGTGATTGTAGAAGTGTGCAAATGTTAGCCCGACCGTCTAGGCACTTATAAGTTACCAAGCAAGGGGTTGTGTGAAAAGGCTGACATTTAAATTCCGTGGTGTGGCATGTGTCAAACATTTTTGGTATGCCCCCATTAGTTCTGCGGATAATATATCGGCGATAATATATTTTGGTGTAAATAAGAAACTGATAGTGGGTTGTAAGAATCAAAATAAGAAATAATTTAAAGTATTTATAAGATAATAAGAATGTGTTGTCTTGAAAAGGACCACCAATTTCACATATTGAGAAAAATCAAAATGCACAAAATCTTATATCAGTATTATTCTAATAAAATCTGGAACGCCTTTTATTTGTTTCATAGTTAATGACATTAATAAAGTATGTCGTTTAATTCTATCATATCTCCGTGGTTTACCTTTTTTTAATGTAAACTTTTGGTGCGCATTTCCTCCCATATTACTCTCGATTGGTGTTATATTATTTACCATGAAACTTTTCAAGATAAGCAAGACTTTACTGGATGCTATAAATTAATTGATTAGTCACTCCTTGGATAAAGAAATAAGATTTGGCTCTTACAATATTTTGGGAAGATTGCATTGATGCCCCCATGCACAGATAGTGGGCACAACGATCAAAATCACAATTCCCAGTGTTTGTAGATACTAGAAATGTCTGTCTCCATCTCATGCTTGATATATGCAAGTATACTTTTCTGATCAACAGTACTGTAAATTTCTGGTGTCCAGCGATTGTTTGAACCCCGATTGCTGGTGTTACCATTGAGGGGAGTAGATTTGATAATTGAAGAGTTTGTTTCCAAAACGAGAGTTACGCCATTTTGTTGCCTCATAATACCCCGCTCTCTTCTGGCCAACCAAACTTTCGACGGGTTTTATAATATTCAAACACAATTTAAGAAGCCAATAACGCGAAAAACGAAGTTTAGAAACAGGTGTTATACTGTTTTTATTCTTTAAACTTTTATAAAGGTGCACATTAGGCCTACTCACTTTTTTTCAGATGAACATTTTGGGTTTTTTGAAATAAAGCCTTCACATTGTATCGTGCAATTTTCATTGTCTCATTTAACAGGAGCTGCTATATGAGCATGCTGTAAAGAAGGGACTCCTTCCTCAGATGGAGGAGGAGGTGGGTGGTGAAGATGAGGATGACATCAACAAGAGGCACCTCATGCGAGATGGAATGGGTGGAATGATGAAAGGATTGGTACCTAAAGGTTGGTGGAGAAAGGTCAATAAACTACCCAATGGCAAGGAAAGACCTTGGCTCACTTATTTTGAAGATTTCAAAGCCAAGGGACAGGGAAGTGGAGGAGGTGGTGGAAGATGTCTCTGTGATTACATCAAAGTAATTTTTGAAAGTCTGTTAGATGTATGTGATAATGGAGGTGGCGGCGGTGGTGGTGGAGGAGGAGGAGGTGGTGGAGGAGGTGGTGGTGGAGGTGGCAACAAGCCCGGCAATGGAGGTGGTGGTGGAGGCGGTGGCAACAAGCCAGGCAATGGAGGCGGTGGTGGAGGAGGAGGAGGTGGTGGTGGTGGCGGCAACAAGCCAGGCAATGGAGGCGGTGGTGGAGGAGGTGGTGGAGGTGGCCACAAGCCAGGTAATGGAGGCGGTGGTGGAGGTGGTGGTGGAGGAGGTGGCAACAAGCCAGGCAATGGAGGAGGAGGTGGGGGAGGAGGTGGTGGAGGTGGCAACAAGCCAGGCAATGGAGGTGGAGGTGGTGGAGGTGGTGGAGGTGGCAACAAGCCGGTAATGGAGGTGGTGGTGGAGGAGGAGGCGGTGGAGGTGGCAACAAGCCAGGCAATGGAGGAGGAGGTGGGGGAGGAGGTGGTGGAGGTGGCAACAAGCCAGGCAATGGAGGTGGAGGTGGTGGAGGTGGTGGAGGTGGCAACAAGCCGGTAATGGAGGTGGTGGTGGAGGAGGAGGCGGTGGAGGTGGCAACAAGCCAGGCAATGGAGGAGGAGGTGGGGGAGGAGGTGGTGGAGGTGGCAACAAGCCAGGCAATGGAGGTGGTGGAGGAGGAGGTGGTGGTGGTGGCCACAAGCCCGGTAATGGAGGTGGAGGTGGAGGAGGAGGTGGTGGAGGTGGCAATAAGCCAGGCAATGGAGGTGGTGGTGGAGGAGGAGGTGGTGGAGGTGGCCACAAGCCGGTAATGGAGGTGGTGGTGGAGGAGGTGGTGGAGGTGGCAACAAGCCAGGCAATGGAGGTGGTGGTGGAGGCGGCGGTGGTGGAGGTGGCCACAAGCCCGGTAATGGAGGTGGTGGTGGAGGAGGAGGTGGTGGAGGTGGCCACAAGCCGGTAATGGAGGTGGAGGTGGAGGAGGAGGTGGTGGAGGTGGCAATAAGCCAGGCAATGGAGGTGGTGGTGGAGGAGGAGGTGGTGGAGGTGGCCACAAGCCCGGTAATGGAGGTGGTGGTGGAGGAGGAGGTGGTGGAGGTGGCAACAAGCCAGGCAATGGAGGTGGTGGTGGAGGCGGCGGTGGTGGAGGTGGCCACAAGCCCGGTAATGGAGGTGGTGGTGGAGGAGGAGGCGGTGGAGGTGGCAACAAGCCGGTAATGGAGGCGGTGGTGGAGGCGGCGGCGGTGGAGGTGGCCACAAGCCCGGTAATGGAGGTGGTGGAGGAGGAGGAGGCGGTGGAGGTGGCAACAAGCCCGGTAATGGAGGCGGAGGTGGTGGTGGTGGAGGAGGTGGGGGAGGAGGTGGGGGAGGTGGTGGAGGAGGTGGAGGAGGTGGGGGAGGTGGTGGCGGAGGCGGGGGTGGTGGTTGGGGTGGAGGCGGTGGTGGTGGATGGAATTGGGGTAAAAACTAGTGAAGATGGAAAGAAAATAAAAGCTATTGCTCGTTTCTTACTTGATAATTTTTGCAGCAAACCGTTTTTATAAAATTTATGGAAAACTTTTTTCCCCAAATTCGGATGAAGA